CGTAATTATATAGAAGTAAAAAATAAAAATGAAAAAATATAAAAAAAAAAAAATAAAAAAAAAAAAAAAAATGAAAAGAAAAAATGAATGAACAAATTAAAGGAGATGAAAGGCGACGAAATATTTTGTTCTCTCCATTTAATGTACATATGTATGTATATGTATATATACATATATATATATATATATATATATATATATTTTTTTTTTTCTAACTTGGTTTTTTTTCCTTTTTTTGGTTTATATATATGACACACACACACACACACACACACACATATATATATATATATATATATAGTCTCGTTTAATTTTTTTTCTTCCCTAGAGTGTATAAGCAGTGCAAAGCCACTTTCGACTAGCCTTACAAGCGCGAAAAGAATTTTCTCCCTTTTTTTTTTTCCATTATTTTTTTTCTTTCTCTCTCTTTTTTTTTCTTTTTTTAATTTAAAAAAATTTTTTTTTATTCTTTTTTCATTTATGCTCATTTAGAACGAGCGCGGGATGCAGAAGCAACGCCACTTTTTCTATCCCTTTCCTCACGCCGCACTTTTCACGGGGGAACAAAAAACTCTTTTGGTGCAATGCCGGTTCCACCAGCGGTAAAAATAAATCGACCGGGCTGTCTCTCTCTCTCTCTTTCTCTCTCTCTCTCTCTCTCTCTCTCTCTCTCTCTCTCTTTCTGTCTCTCTTTCTGTCTCTCTTTCTGTCTCTCTTTCGCGCGCGTATCAAAAGCAACGACGATGAGAGACTCTGAAAAAGAAAGAAAAAAAAGAGAGAGAGAGAGAGAGAGAGAGCATATACTTTTATTTGCGACAATGCCTTCTTTCTCTCTTCTTCTTTCTTCTCATCTCTTCTCTTCTCTTTTCGTATATCTCCCGCGAAATTCAATTTTGCGCAGCCGAGAGACTGGCAAAAGAGGGTCCAAGGAAATAGGACAAAGGGTAACGGGTGCAAAGTGGTTGAACGAGATAGAAGATAAGGGATTAAAGGTTGAAAGATATATGTATATATATATATATATATATATTATCTTGTTAGATGAACTAACGTACATGTGTATAATACATAAGAAATGATAGTTGTAATTTTAAATAGATATGTGTTCGCGAGGGAGTCAATTCTATGGAGAAAGATATATTTAAGTACTTACTTACATGGTGATGGAATAGAGTACAGTATTGTGAAATAAAAATGCATAGGGGATATATATATATATATAAGAGAAGGGAAACAGAAAAAGGAAATAAGTTCGTGGAAATGGCAGATGTTGAGAAAACGAGAATTCGTGAGAGGGTAGAAGAAAGTTTTCTAGGAAGAAGAAATACGCGAAATGAAAGGTGGAAGACAAGAGAAGCCAAAAGAATGTCTTTTCCTCCTTTTCTGCTTATTTGCTTTTTTTTTTTTTTTTTTTTCTCTCTTCTCTCTTTCCTTTTCTCTTTTTCGACGGATTCGGATGGCTGTAACGTGAAAAGAGGAACACAAGTCGAAGTCGGAGACTTCTTTCGGAGTAGTTTTCTCTCAAATATCGGTCAGTGTCTCGTCTCGTCTAGCACTAGCAAGCTTTTATTCTCTTTCTCTCTCTCTCTCTTTCTCTCTCTCTCTCTCTCTCTCTCTCTCTCTCTCTCCTTTCGTCTCTATTATTTTTCTTTTTTCCACTTTTCCTCTATGTTTTTTTTTTCTTTTTTTTTTTTTTAGTCTGTCTCTCCGGTTCATCGACGCGGGTGCATCGAACATGAGTTCTTGTCTCGGGGCGTATAACGAGTTCCACGCTTTTTCCTTTAATGCGTTGGATGTGCCGGGTTATTTTCAACTTGACTTTCTTTTTTTTTCTTTTTTTCTTTTTTTTTCTTTTCTCCTTTTTTTTCTTTTTTTTTTTTATCTTTTATTTTTTATCGTTCAAGCCTCCTAAGCATGGATGACCCACGATTATTGCATTCATTATAAACGTTTATAAAGAAAAAAAAAAAAAAAAAAGAAATAAATAAATAAAGAAAAATAAGAAAGGATAAGGGAAGACGAAAAACTTTGGTGAATCATAATATTTATACAAGTGACAAAAAAAAAAAAAGCAAAAGAAAAAGAAATCATTAGTGTACAGAGAGATAGGTGTGATAATACAATTCATTTAGTATTCTTCGTAAATACAAAACATATAATTATTATAATGAAAGTTGCATTATAAATGATAATTATTCATCGGTTGACGATATTATGAGAGCGATCATTTTACATTCACGTTTCGTTTTACATAAAATAATTACGTTTCCTGAATGAAAAGTACGATGTGTGTGGGCCATAACGACATTCAACGCGTTAAACTAAAAAGACAAACGAACGAGACCGTCACGTACGATCTTTTATTTCGACTGAATTTTCAATCTGTTTTCTTATTCGCGTATGCGTATATTACCTGGAAATTTTTTTGTTTCTTTTTTTTTTTTTTTTTTTTTTTATAGTCGCTCCTTAAATCCCTTCCATTTGTCTCCTCGCTAGCAAGGAGACACCCTTCGATAGGGGAGCGTCACTTCGGTAAGGGTAGAAACCTCATTCGTTTTACTTATCTGTCTTTTTACTTTTCCCTTTCTCTTTTCTTCTTCTTCTTCATTTTTTTTTTATTTCTTTTGCTTTCTCTCTCTCTCTCTCTCTCTCTCTCTCTCTCTCTCTCTCTCTCTCCCTCTCTCTCTCTATCTCTCTGTCTAACACTTTATCTCGAGAAACGTTTCATTATTGAGTCCTTATCTCGAAACTTCGCGTGATTCGGTTGGATAGGTATGGGCAATGATAGACTGTCAATAAACGATCAGCTGTTCATTTGAAACGAAATTTGAAACGGGTAATTTGATTTAAAACGAATAACGTGCATTACGAAATTTAATCGAAAGAAAAAGAAAAGATAGAAATAAAGTAATAAATAAATTAATAAATAAATAAATAAAATGAATGAATGAACGAACGAACGAATAAAGGAACAAACAAACAAACAAACAAACAAATAAGTAAGTTACTTCGTTTCGAAGAACGTGTACAATCAGTTTTGCGAGTCAGAGGAAACGAACGGATGTTTCGCAGTAGTCCGTAATTAACTCGTCGATATTCGCTTTACAGGAACTAGGAGGAAATACTACCTCTGACGGTGCGTGAATGCAAACGACGAATGATGACGAAAGCATAGCTGCATTTAGGAGCAAACGGTTAACGATGATCGATCGATCGGTAATTTTGTTCGGTCGCGAGATAAGCGGTCTAGTTTTCCTCCCATGTTATACGTTCACTTAAATGTATGTTTATATAAGCGGAAAAAGTCAAGGAAAAACTTGGGGAGATAAAAGAAAAAAAAGAAAAGGTGTCACGAAAGAAAAGGTGTCACGAGAGAGAGAGAGAGAGAGAGAGAGAGAGAGAAAAGAGAGAGATCGCTTTTAAATATCCTTCCTGGTTTGATCATTCCTTTCCTGTCGTATTTTCTATTCGCGATACCGCATACATAGTTATATACATATACGTACGTATCTAATAAAAAAAAAAAAAAAAAAAAAAAAAAAAAAGAAAAGAAGAAAAAAAAACCGAACGTAAATGTCATTTTGAAGATGAACGTTTATTAAAGGACACAAAATGTTTTTACATGTGTGTATATGGTATACTACTAGCGTTGATACGTTTCGCTTATATGATAATGTAAAAATGAACGATCGATAGGAGGAGGCAAGGAACGCACGAAGGAGGGAGGGGGGATGGAACGTTTATATAAACGTCAAGGTTAGACGTCTTTACATTTGCCGTTGGTACACGATAAGTTCTCGCTTTTAGCTAGCTGGAAGGAAAAAGGAAAGAAGAAAGGGGAAAAAAGGAAAAGAAAAAGCGAAGTTTATAGAAATAACATTGCTTAAAAATTAATGAAAGAGAATACGAGATGAGAGAGAGAGAGAAAGAGAGAGAGAGAGAGAGAAAGAGAGAGAGAGAGAGAGATAAAGAGAGAGAGAGAGAGAGAGAGAAAAGAGTTCGTTAAAGGGAGGAAAGAAGATAGAGAATTCCTCTCATCGATATTAGATAAACTTTGCATAATTTGACGATTGTATAATCGAACCGGATATATGCGTTACTTTCTTTTTCTATTGGCATAGAAAAAACACTGTTTGAATCTCGGTTATATAGAGAAAAGGCTATGCCGGAGATTCAAACGTTCGATCGTATGGTCTACGCTCTCTTATCGACTCGAAAGCCGACGGCACACGAGAGTCACATTCTCGATGCATAAACGAGTATAATAAACATAGTTGTCGCTATTTCTTTTTCCTTTTTTTCCCTTTCGTTTTTTCGTTTTTTCTCTTTTTCTGTTTTTTTTTCTTCTTTTTTTTTTTGCCTTTTTTTTTTCTTTTTCTTTTTTTTTCTTTTTTTTTCATCGTCACTTTATCAAGAGATAGAAAAACAAAAAGAGACCGAGAGAGAGATAGAGGAGAGAGAAAGAAATAACAGCACCCAACACACGTGTCCTATAATCGGTGGAAAAACTTTGACGTGTTACTCTCTTGATCTCTATTTAACCCTTCTAAATCACATAGTAATTTTAACACAAAGGTGTTTCATTCACATTTTTTTTCCCCCCTGATCATTGATTTTTCTTATTCGTAATTTCTCTTTCTTTTTTTTTTTTTTTTTTTTTTTATCTTTCGTCTTTCTTTCTTATCGAGCTTCGACGAGCTTTCACGCGCGATATCGAAAGCATCGAACGAGAAGAAAAGAGTAAAAGAGAGAGGGAGAGAGAGAGAGAGAGAGAGAGAAACGAAAACGAAGTTCGCAAACGAGAGGACGTTCACCCAGGAACCGAAGGCCTTTTCCTATCTACTTCTCTTTCCCTCTCTCTCTCTCTCTCTCTCTCTCTCTCTGTTTTTTCATGCCCTCTTCTTCCCGCTCTTGCTTTTCTCTACCTGCATGTCGTCGAAGCACGCGCTAGCCGCGAGTCCGTCGAGCATGAGCATTGTCGGCGTTCGTTGAACTCTTACCTCAGCGTCCCTCCGTAACGAGACGGTAGCGTGCAGCCACGACGACGACGACGACTACTGCGGAGCTCGTCCATCGGCTAAACTATTTTTCTTGCCAAGCATTCCCCTTCTCCGTATCTCTTTCTCCTTCTCGTCTTTCTCCTCTTCCACCTTCCTCTACACCTTCTTCTTCTTCTCCTTCTTCTCCTTTTCGTCCTTTTCTTCTTCTTCTTCTTTTTTTTTTTTTCTTTCTTTTTTTTCCTGACCACCCTTTAATCCCTTTTCCAACACCTTCACCACTTCTACCCACCCTCTTAGCTCCTACACTATTTCCTACTTTTCCTCTTTCCTTCGTTTCTTCGTAAGATCTTTTATCGTCCGACGAAATTTTCTTCCCTGACCTGCGGCAACTACACTTCGTTCGTTCACCCCCTACTCTTCCTCCTCCTACTCCTCTTCCTCTTCCTTCTTCTTCTTCTTCTTCCTCCTTACTCTTTCTCCTTCTTTACCAACACGTCTACCAATCCCCTCCAACACTTCTTCCTCCTCGTGCACACGACTATATACGAGTACGCGCGCGTTTAACCTCCCTTGTTTGATCGCTTTTAACCACCACCGCCGATTACGTTTTCTTCTCTTTCTTGCAGCTTATATTTCTTTATATCCTTCCTTTCTTTCTTTCTTTCTTTCTTTCTTTCTTCTATTTTTTATTTTCCTTCTTTTTCAGACAGTAACAACAAAACAACAACAACAACAACGACGACGACGTAGATGACGACGACGACGTAGACGACAACGACGGCAAAGACGACGACGACGACGACGACGACGAGTCCACAAGTGAAGACGACGAGCACGAGGGTAACTTTGATGACGACGTATGCGTTGGCGCGCGAACTTTTCCTTTCTTTCGGGGGTTGCGCGCGCGCGCGCGCGCCCAACCGCCCTACCGTCCCGCGTACTCCCCGATTACTACAAACTACTACTACTAATTACTACGGACTACACCTAAAACTACCTACGCACTCTCCGCTTCCTCTACTCCCTTCTTCTTCTTCTTCTTCTTCTCCTTCTTCTCCTCTTTTTCCTCCTCCTCCTGTTCTTTTTTCTTTATCTTTATCTTTATCTTTATCTTTTTCTTTTTCTTCTTCTTTTTATCCGCTTTTCCTTTTTTTTATCAATCCCTCTCTTCTCTTATGAACTCTATACGTATTTAATATATATATATATATATTTTTTTTTGTTTTCTTATTCGTTTATTTATTTACTTATTTATTTCTCTATTTATTTGTTTGTATATATATGTGTATATATATATATATATATATAAAAAAGCAAATGATAATAAACAGATCGTAGCGCGTACTTAATAATACGACGCCTTAATAATCGAATATTTTATCGATTTGTATTCCTTTCGCGATCGGATCGGGAGAAAAAAAATTTCTCGTTGGTTCGACGACGACGAAAAACGAAATGAGAAGCGAGCGTGCGAGCGAACGAGCGAACGAGCGAACGAGAGGGAGAGAGAAAGAGAGAGAGAGAGAGAGAGAGAGAGAGAGAAAGAAAGAGAGAGAGAGAGAGAGAGAGCGAGAGAGGGGGAGAGAAAAAGAGAGCGTTCGCGCGTGGTATCGCACGAGCCGGCCGACGAGACACACCACGACAGACTAAAGCGTCGGAGGGTAGAAACGTGCTCCCATCTCTCTCTCTCTCTCTCTCTCTCTCTCTCTCTCTCTCTCTCTCTCTCTCTCTCTCTTTCTCTGCCCTCTCTCCATCTTTCTCTCTCCCCCCTCTCCCTCTCTCACTCCCCATCGACTTGCTTGCTAGCTCGCTCACTCGCTCGCACGCTCTCTCGTACGCTCGTTCGTTGGTTCGTTCCTTCCTACGTTCGTTCGTTCGTTACGTCGCGACGCCCTCGCGCGGACACGGACCGCGTCGCGACGCTCGAATGCGCCGACGCAGCAACCAACAACGACGACGACGACGACGACGCCGTACTATCGTTCGAGCGGGTTAACGTTCGGTCGGTGATACACGGACCTTTGCACTACATCGATCGAATGTCCTTTTCTTTCTTTGTCTTCTTCGTCTTCTTTATCTTCGTCTTCATTTTCTTCTTCTTTTTTTTCCCTTCTCTTTCGTCTCTCTCTTTTTTTCTCTCTTTCTCTCTCTCTCTCTCTTTACGATAAAATTTATCATGGTACTTTTTAAATCGATCGACTTTTTTCATATGATTAATCGTTTTAACGAAATCAATTGTTAAAAGATGAGATTTATTTTGTCGATCCTTAAAGGATCGATCGTCATTTATCATTACGTTGACACGTTCAATGTTATTGGTTATTATATGGCGATAAGTATTCCCTCAATTTATAACAATGTCTTTTTTAGAGATCTCTTTCTTAATATTTACAATAATTCATTGTGTGATATTGTATTTATTATGAGATGATATCAGAACGTGCAAGTAATTTCCATAAAAAGGAAAAAAAAAAAAAAGAAAAAAAAAAGAAAAAACATACAAAGAAGATATAGAATTCGTAGAAAATTATGATAATTTATTTTATAGTCAAATTTTATTAATCGTCGATAATAACGTGAACGTCTCATTTAAGATATCTTATAAATATTCGTGTTACATTTTCATTTTTACCATATTCTTACAAAATCATTATTATTTTTTTTCGATAGATTACGTGGGGTAATATTGTTTTTATAACATCGTGAATTGATATTGTATCTGATATCGAATGAAAGAAATATCTATTCTTAACTTTCATCTATTTTGCTGAATCTGAAATCACGAAGGAGAACGATCTTCGGACATTTCGAACGAAACGAATCGGCAAAGTGTCGAGATAAATTTCTCGAATAATCATAAAATATTTTCGTGCATCTCTCTCTCTCTCTCTCTCTATCTCTTCTATTTCTATCTCTATTTCTTTTTTTAATATACGTTATAGCTATAACGTATCAGCATAAAACTCTTTTATATTTTTATCGAGAAGAAGGCACGAGTACTCTCTTCGCCTCTTTTACTCGTTAAATTTCATTGTTTCCAAAAGAAATTACTTTTCGTTATTCGTCATTAGAATTCGAATAACTATAATGATTCTCGATCTATATAAATGTAAAAATATTTTTATGAAGGATGCTTGTTGAACTGAGAGAAATTCCATGAGAAATCAAACAAATCGAATGGGCGATTATTAAAATTTCCAATATTCGAACGAATTCATAATAATACAATTTTTATTATTCCTATTATTATTTATTTTATTTTATTTTATTTTATTTTATTTTATTTTATTTTATTTTATTTTATTTTATTTATATATATATATATATTTTTTTTTTGTTCTAGGAGAGGAGAAAGATCATACGGCAATAAAAAGGGAGGATGATATCGAAGCTTACTTCAGCAAATTTGTTCTATGAGTTTTATCGACAGTACTAAGCACGATCCTTCAACGTGTCTACCTCATTGGCAGAGAACAGCTTTTTCAAAAACAGACGCGTAAGTATATATATATGTGCGTGCGCGTGAGTTTCTCTGTATGTGTATATATATATATATATACATATATATATATATATACACACACACATGTACCGACCTCATTCAGAGTTCATGCACGATGTCCCTTTTCGTGACGAGAGCGCGCAAAGAGTGCACAACGAAAACGAACCGTAGTAGAACCACAAGAGAAAGTTTTTCGTTCAATCCACTCAAGCGTTCCTCTTATGTCTGGTACAGGAAGAGGAAACACGTTAGTTGAACGTAGTACTTGTGATATAGCAAGTATCTAGCTAGTATCTAACGACTATACTTATATCTTTTCTCTTATCTATATTTCTCTTTCCTTTTTCACGTCTAACTATCTTTTCTTTTTTCTTTCGAAATTTTATATATATACACAAACAGGGTTGCGTCAAGGTATTCCAAAATTAATCGTTTCAATTAATTGATTAGATGAACCTTGAAATTAATAGAATAATTGATAAACAAGAGTTTTATCGATTAAAGCTTTATTTTATAATTTGATAGGAAATATAAATAGAATATATCGCATCATCTCTTTGTTTATGAGTGCGTGAGTGCGTGAATGCATATGTCTGTATGTGTGTGTGTGTGTGTGCATAAGATTAAAATATTTAAAAAGATAATTTTTTAGGGAAAAGTATATATAAATCTTAATCGTACGGGGCGCAACAATTACGTTGTCACGCGATATTTCGCGGTAAAGAGATTAAATCCTCTTGAAATGTCTCGGAACTTTTTGGAGCGTTACGATTATTGCTGGCAAAGTTCCATGCTTTTGCTCATGTGAACCGAAAATTCTCGAGTTTGCTTTGAAATTTACCGTCGAATATTTGCGAATAAATTGCAAGGAGAGAACGGATTTCATATATCACATTACAACGGGACTTTAAAGTGTTATGGCGAAACAACGATACCTTGTTCTATGATTAAAACAATTGATTAGATTTAATTCGTAAATACTTTGAAATTAATTGACAATCTTAAAAGTATCGTGATAAAAGAGAGATAAGTACGCCCATAAGCTATACGTATCTATGCGTTATAACATATTTTTTCTTTCTTTCTCTTTTTGTGTTTTCTTTTGTTTTCTTTTTTGGCTTCTTTCATTTTTTTTGTTTGTTTCAAAAAAAAAAAAAAAAAAGAAGAAGAAGAACAAAATCCAATATTATTTTTCGTTAAATGGTATTAAATGGGAAGGTTTCAAATTAAAAGTTTTCGTACTATTGGTCTTCTAACGGTATGGTTAGTCGAATTACAAAGAGAGAGAGAGAGAGAGAGATAGGGAGAGAGAATAGCGATAAATTTGTCCGTATGAAGTTACGATAGAAATTTTCAAGTGGATGTACTCCATAACAAAGTGGTCATACGTAGATCCGCTTTTCATGATAAATTCAAATAGAACGGAGATAGGTATTTTGACAATTGATTATGCGGAAGGATCGTATATTATTTTATGACGTATGTGTCACTTAGCGGAAACTTTCGTATAATTTTTGGAAAATATTAAAATTGACATAATAGAAAATATACATATGTCATTGATTTCACAATAATAACGGAACACGATGCAATAACGAAATTTATGTGTTAGCAACGAATATAATTGGCTATAGTCCAAGAACGAGGTCATTTTACTTCGCGTCAAAGTTATCCTGAACGTTAGGTATTAGATAATCGAAGGTCCCTGAATGTTCGACCGGAGGCGTTAGAGTGACAGCCCGACGATGGTTTGCATCGGTGGTTTGTCATTAAACTATTCCGACGAAATGTTCCTGGTACGAGGAGAGAGAGCCAACCATTATCTACTACTTCGACTATGTGCCTGTATTTTCGTGTCAAACGTCAATTGCAATTAGGTATTCGCCAAAAGGAAATTATTTTGGCAATTGGAACTGAGTGACCTTGTATTATGAGTCACCTGTAAAATCGTTCGTACGATATATTTCATCCCTTTTAGTTCCTTTTTCTTTTTTTTTTACTTTTTTTTCTCTCTCTCTCTCTCTCTCTCTCTCTCTTTCTTTTCGTCATCTATATATCTACGAATAGAAAGTATTACTTCGAACGAAATAAAAAGCATTTTCTGATCTGCTAGTAAAAAAAGCTTGTACGTCCAACGGGGAAAGAAAAAGTACGTGTCGTAGAAAGCTTGGCCGAGTCACAAGGGAGACAAAGATTTTCTAAAGTGAAGAAAATCAAAGGGAGTGCTGCAGGTAGAGAGAGGAAAAAAAAGAGGAAGAAAAAGAAGAAGTGACGTTTGAAGAAGGAGGAGGAGGTGGTGGAGGAGGAGGAGGAGGAGGAGGAGGAGGACGAGGAAGGGGGTAATGGTAGTAGTCAACTGTTTGGCAAACAGTACCCAATAGATTCGAAATCGCGAAAACTTTCGACACCGGCCGAAAAGATTTATGAACGAACGCTCCTGAAAGGACGATATACGGAAGAAAAATGGAAATGTCAAGTCTCGTACTGTCCCTCGTCATGATCGTTTGTCCCTATGTGTTGGGTCAAGAAAAAGTTCACGTCTATCTCTTTCTTAAACAAGATTTAGGCCTACGAATTGTTAAAACTTTAAAAGAGGACTTTTGCCTTTGGGGACAGGTTACACGTGTTGTTTAAACGCGATCTAAGTGATTTCTCACGTTTCCCTTTCTTTTTTTCCTTTTTTTCCCTATCTCATCTTTGTTTCTAATATTTATTTTCTTGCTTTTAGGTTTTCTTTCTTTCTTTTTTCTCTTTGTTTTTATTTTTATTTTTTTTTTTTTTTTTGCAAAAAGGATAGGAAAGTAAAGAAGTTACGATCTCAAATGTTCCGAAAGAATTTTCTAGTTTACCAAACAATTAAATCGTTTGAACGGTGATTACATCGAAGTGAAGGGAATCAAAAAAGGAAAGAAAAGAAAATAATAGGAAGAAGAAGAAGACAAAAACGGAAAGAAAAGAGAAACCCCTTTAGAAGGAATGGGTTCATCCGATACTGATGTCAAGTCACTTCAAGAAGGAAAAGAAAAAGAAAATAAAGAAAAAGGAGAAAAGGATTGTGAAAGGGAGGGAGATAAGTATGGAGACAGGGAAAAAATGGGGGAACGATTCCCACATGTCGTCCAGACAATTCAATTCGTTTATTTTCCTGTAGAGCACCACCAGTAGCAGCCAGCTTTAATGGATGGCGAAACTGTTATATAGATGGCGGGAGTTCCTATAGTTTCCACACTTTCGTCTTTCTTCTAGTTCTCCCATTTCCTATGTCTCGACACGACACTCGAACCCCTTTTACCCCCTATGTCGCAATCGCGTTCCACTATTCGCGAGTGGCTCTAACAAAGTCACGCGAGCGTGTAGACTGGTAAGCAGTTTGGGAATGTATCCAACAAATCGCCGTTGGTACGTGCAATGGTACCGATGCATACACACGTACACACACACACACACACACACATACACACATACAGTAGGACAATCTCACATAGATTTTACACATATATTCGCTTTTAATGCCTTGCATGTTCTATCTTTTCGTGGTATCTACGATCATGGGCCAGTGACCGAGCGTTAACTTCGCCTTTCGAAAACTTTCTCAGCTTTTCCTGAACTCTCTCTCTCTCTCTCTCTCTCTCTCTCTCTCTTTCTCTTTCTCTTTCTCTTTCTCTCTCTCTTTCTCTCTCTTTCTCTTATACTTGATAAGGTAAAGCTGCGCAAAGGAAGTACGGTGACTTGCGGTGACACTTTTAATCGGACTCTGAAATTATTAGCACCTATGGCGATAAGTAAGAGTTATATTATGCTATCGCGAAAGAAAAATATGAGGATCTTAAGAGGATCGTAGAATTTTCTCTATTTCACGCTCACTTATGTACGATAAAGGTATGATCTTTTTTTATCACAAAGGATAAGGTCTACATATCGACGATAGATTTCTAATAGATCGTAATTCTTGGAAATACGGTAGTCGAACCTAACGAAGGCTCGCGATAAAAGCTCTC